CCTTGCCGGCCGTCGAGCAACAACTCTCGACCAAATCAACTTCAAACAACATAATCTGACATGGCATGAACATGACTACTGAAATAACTTAAAAACATGAAATTTGCACGCTAAACCGAATATGGTCGTGGCGAGCGCACCGTGTGCCACCGACGGCGTTAGGCCGTTTATCGACCAACTTGACTTTTACCTCGGCAACTCAACCTCAACTGAACTTAAAACATGATTTACTGAATAAATAGACATGGTTGTTCGAAAGAATGTTTACTTAACAAACTTGATACGGGTGAATGGCCCGTGGCTCGTGCTACGTGCACGGCCACGCCCTTCGGCCAAAACATGACTGAACTTGATTTTTCTTCAGACAACTCAAACTATTTGAACATGATACATGCATAACTGATTAAATAAACGGAGTTGGTTGAGAGATTTCAAACTGAAACTTGACATGACTGATTATAAACGAAACCCACGGCTAAATCGATATAGGCACGCATATGAACTTAGACTGAAGGTTGGACTAAAGAAACATGTTAATTTCAGCCCATAATAACATGGGAATTACCTCCGACTAAGCTCGACTAACAGCAAATTCCTCGGACTCCCGTGCTCGTGCGTGACTATTCGCGTGTTCTGCGTCGCGGTGCGGTGCTTTGCGGTGCAGCGTGCGGTGGAACTCGGCGCCGCGTACGATTGTGCTACTTAACTTGTGGAAAACTCTCAATTTCTCACAACTCTCTCTCAAGCACTTAGTTGGGAAAAATATATAAAGCTGAAAGTGATCCCAATTTTTCCAACTTAATCCTATATATAAATCGGCGAGAGAGAGGGGTTATTTGGTGGCTTTGCTTAAACATGCCACTTGTAATAAAGTTAAGTGATCTTAAGGTGACTAATCACCTCTTAACCTCACATAATGCCACGTCTCATGCCATAAGAAGAAGAAATAATTTCCTTAATTATGGAGAAATTGAGTACGGTTTATTGACTTAAATCCCACACTTGCTACGGCTTTGATCACTTAAAGGTGATTAATTATAAATTAATCACTAAATTATGTTTAATTACTAATTAAACATAATGCTTAACTACTAAAATGATTCCAAACGTGAACGGAACGTCGAAAATAATTTTCGGTAATTTTAACTAAAATGACTGAAATAATTAATTCCGAAAATAAAAATCGATAATGTTATTATATCGGAACTAAAATATGATTTAAATTAATAAACTGACAGGATATTACAACAACCATGTTCCAAGTCATGCCGACGTATTTCTCGTGCAATTTCATGAAATTATGTGTTTTTGGAGCATGTTAGGTCATTTCATATTGTTTCACGTTGAAACGGTCGAGAGACGTCGCCAAACGGCCGGCAAGGGCCGGTCGTGACTGCGCTTCCCGCACACAGCAGCAACAGCGCGCCGGCAGTTAGCCAGGTGCACGCATGCCGTGGGGCGTCGCGCACAGCCCTACCCGCAGCAGCAGTCCCCTGGCAGTGCATGTGCACGCCAGCAGTTCACCGCACACGCTAGTGCGTGCGCCAGTCGCCTGCTGTGGCGCGCGGTAGCGCCCAGCAGCGCACGTCACGCCCATGCCCGCGCACATAGCGCACGGCAGCGCCCAGCCGATGCCTGCATTGCGCCAGGCGCACACACGCATCCCATTAGCCTTCAGCTGCGTTCAGTCGCCCGCCAGCCGTGCCCAGTGGCACGCCAGTGCACGCTAACTCGCACGCCCGTGCACAGTGCTGTGCCACAGACCCTGCAGCCACAATGCCACGGCCAGTCCAGGCAGCACCAGCGCCCGCGGCCTTGGCAGGCCCGTTGGCCGAGCTCAGCGGCCGACCGCCTGGCCACAGCAGGTTGGCGGTCCGACCAGACCGGTTCAGACCGGTTGAACCGGTTCACCCTATATTTTAATGTTTAAGTCTCGGTTTATGTTCAAGTCTCATTTTCAGTTAAAATTCCAGATCCAGTTCAGTTCAGTAAATTCATATCAGTTCAGTTCTGTATTTAACCGGTTTCAGTAATATCGATTAAATCCAAATATCATGTCAAGTTCAGTGGAGAATCTTAACATATTTAACAGCTATTTTTATCAGTGTGAGCATAGTACTTAGTAATTGTTTATATTATATTTCAGTTTGATTAGGCTTCAGATATCAGCACTACCTTTTCATTTCAAAGGATCAAGTGGGGACTCAGACTGGGTATTACATTGATTATAATTGCTCTACCATGTTCGAGGTATGTATTATCACTATCTGCTCGGAATGGTCGTCGGTCCATTCTGGGTTCTAGTGGCCTTAGTCTGCCCACTAGAGTGTGCATATGGCGTCCGGCATTTTATGCTGGCAGATGTTCAGTTATCAGTCAGGTGATGATTATCACGAGATCAGTATCAGATCATGCTTATTCAGTACTGGTTTCAGTTCAGTTCAGTTATATATGTCAGGATCATGATATTGTTATTATTTTCACTGTTTACTTTAGTATGAGTTTCTGCGGAGCACAGTGGATTTAGTGTTGACGCCCAACATTATTCATGTTTTTCAGGTCACAGGGTCGGAGCCGAGGAGTGAGCTGGCAGTCAGTTCAGGACTTTGATTTCATGTTTAAAATGTTTGGCGACGCTACATTTTTCCGCTGATTACGACTATTTGTCGAACTTAGCCTTTGATCCGACTTTCAGTCGGTTAATATTTTATGTTAAACCGTTTGTTTTCTTTAAAACTAAAATAACGGTTTTCAGATAAAGTCATGTTTTATGGTAGCACTCCGAATCAGTACTTCGCAAAATAAATGTTTTTATTTGGAAAAACTTTGCGAAAAACGCACTCTGATTTTCATGAAATAGCGGGGTGCTACAGTTGGTATCAGAGCACATTTCTGCATCTCTAAAAAAAATTTACGAGTCAGAAATTTTTCAAGAACCTGAACACGTCACGCTCACGCCTCGCCGACTACAGGTAAGTGCTGATTCATGTTTTAAATTATAAACAAGTTACTATGTCTATGCTCAGAAAAACCACAGTTATGACTTAGTTAAAATGCTCGAATCTGTTCAAGAATAATAGTTCAGTATATCCATGATTAATGCAAGTATTTCCTAGACATGTTAAGCAACTCGTCAAGAGATTTGTGCGCTTTATTGATCAGCTTCGAATTACTGTGTCTATACTCAGTATGATGTCATCAGTGAGGATGCTTGAATCAGAATTTAAAACCTTAGAAACGGGCTAAGCCTGAGAACTCTAGATTAAATTCTAGATTTATCCAGGTCAAGTTAACGACTCGTCAAGAGAATTGTAAGCACTTATGTTGTATAAATCTTAGCAATCATGTTCCTCAGACATTTTTCTATAAAAGTTGCCCATTTTGCCAACCAGATGGCACATTCCAAGGAGGAATTCCTTGAGTTAGATCAGGGAATAGACTCAATTTTCCTAAGTCAGATCAGTAAATCAAGTTCAAGATTAAATTTTCATGCTAAAGGTTGTTATAACGCTTAAGGCCATTGTCAAAAGTAACGGTTTCCAGTGTATAAGAGTCAATATTTCGGGTTACCATGGAGGCTTGAAATAAGAGCCATTAAGCCGGGTATACCATGGAGACTTGAAACTGAGACCAGAACAGGATAATTTCATGTAATAACAACCTTTAAAGTTAGTTATGTCATGTATTCTATCAGTTTGATATTCCAAGTTATGGTTTTCAATGCTCAATATCAGTTAATTCCTTTATACTTACGGGACCAGTTGATACTGGAGCAACCCTATACAATACACAGTTATGAGTCACTGTTCACAGTTCAAAGTCAATGATCACGACTTAAAGTCAATGTTCATGAGTTTAAGGTCGGCGTATAATAGTTACTAAGTCGGGTTAAATAGGGAGGTCTGATATACGGACTATTATTCTAAATTTACCTGGAAACTAGAATTCGAACCTTATCAAGCCAAGTAAGTTAGTAAATATCATGTTCCAATTCCGAGATGACCAATTAATTATCTCAGGATAGCTTCTAGATCTCAAGTAAGAGTTATATAGTCATATTAAAGTCAAGTCAGGGTTATCCAGTTATGTGAATGTTGAGGCTAGTCATGTCAAAGTCGAAGATGGTCTGTCTAATAAGACAAGACTTATCAGTATATCCAGTGCCTCGATTCTCAAATTCTGAAAATTTGGGAAATCACAGGAAAGATTAGTTCACGATAGACTTTTCTTGAGGTTATGTTAAACCTCAAGGAAGGTAAAGATTTGCAGGTACAGCATGGCGATGTCCGACACATCTTTCGTTCGTGATAGAGAAGATCAATCAACAACAACAGACAATACCGTAGAGACGAATCGACGATTCTGATTCAAGGATGCATGTCGCAAGAAGAGAAGAATACCATGCCTGAGTCACAGTACACTGGGTAATCATAGAGAGTTAGCATTATAGTACATTGAGGTTACTAGCTTGAGGTACATATATGATCAGTTATACAGAATACGTCGAAGACGCAGGTGCATTGTTTGCCAGGTGCTGTATACAGGCGTGCCACACTCACTTGATGAGGAGCAAGTGTGCCGCATTACAATGTACTGCGAACGATGTGCCGCGTTATCGAGTAGATGTTCACGAAAGGTAATTACCGATATTGCTAGTTATCCTCATTTGTACATGTGCGTATCTCTGAAATTTTCTGTGTATACCAACGACTGGAATTTTCCACAACCAACGTTCAGACCGAAGATCAGCCATCAACCAGGAGATGATGACCAGTACGCTCAAGAATTATGCTTTTAAGGTCATGTATAATCAGTGGAACACATTATTTCAGAAAAGTGCCCATGTTCAGCCAGTATTAATCAATAATTCACTTAATTGTGAATTGATGATTATTCAGTTCAGATCAAGTCTACCGTTCAGTATTAAAATACTGATTCTCAAGTTATGTCATAGGTAAGTATAAGCTTTATGTTAAGCTTGTACATTCCAGTTTTAGTATTTTCGAGGACGAAAATATATTAAGGAGGGTGGATTGTAACGCCCCATATTTTATTAACAAGGAAAATCCTAGCTTTGAAAAATAAGCTAGCCTTTGTTAATAAATAATCATGTCAATGTTCAAGATTAAGTTATTCAGTCAGTCAAGTTCCAAGTTTGACGTTAAGTCGAATATATATTCGGTTAATTTTATTTATTAACCGAGTTATCGATAATAATTAATCTCAGACCGTTTATTTATGGACGTTTTTCAGTTCAAAATTAGTAAGCTAAGTTGACGAATTATTTGAAATATCAATAGTCGGACTAATCGTCCAAGTCAAGAATTCGAATTAATATTTGAAGCTACGTTTATGTTCGGAATATGTTAAGTATTTAAGTACCAAGCTTAGTCAAATAATTAAGCATGTTAACTTGTGCTTAATTAATTATTTAAGCACGTTTATGCTATCATAATGTCGTAAGTAAATTCGTAAATTGCGTATGTAATTGTGAGGATTGCACATGAATATTATCCTTATACTTAGCATGAGGTGGCTTTCTTATAATTCTCTAAGTAATGACTAAGCTTATTAGAAGGTGAATAAGCATTCCTTAAGTCTTAGCATCTAGAAAATGGCAAGCATTCATTGGCCAAAAGATTTTCTCACCTCTTCATTAATTTCATTCGGCCATATATTTACTAAGTGTTGGGAAAGGACTTCATCCTTCTAATAATCAGCATTTTAAGCCATAGATAAGAGAGTTAGGGAGAGTTTAGTTTAGTAAGTCAAGCAACGTACTTGGAGACGAAGACGAACTCACGCACGCGCACGTAAAGGAAAATCACGGGAAGTCACGTATGGTTGATCGAGAGGTTGAAGAGGTATCATCGTCTTCATCATCTATTCATGTTAATCTGATCATGATTGGTTCATTATGTTCAAACATGTCCAGTAATTCATAAGCAAAGCCAAGTTAGGTTCGGTTTAGGCCTTGTTAGGCCATGACCGAGTGATGTTCTTTTTTATTTCAAAACTCTCGAGCAATTGTCGGTTATTCAGTCAGTACATGCTATTTCATGATCAGTCAAGTTAAGTTTGTTGAGAAAAATCATGGTTTTGTTAAAAGTTGGCCAAAGCCGTCGAGTACCGCACATAGCGGAAGCCACGATCTTTTTATTTCTCGAGTTATGTTCATGTCATTCGGTCGTTCTGTTAATAAGAATTCATGTTATAGTTAGTTATGATGATCCATGCGAGAAACGGTCAGAAGAGTTGTCGAATGGCCAAATATATCGGCCATAGCGTCGGGTCGCAACATTGCGCAAGCTACAACCATGTTCCAAGTCATACCGACGTCTTTCTCTTGCAATTTCATGAAATTATGTGTTTTGGGAGCATGTTAGGTCATTTCATATTGTTTCACGTTGAAATGGTCGAGAGAAGTCGCCGAACGGCCGGTAAGGGCCGGTCGTGACTGCGCTGCCCGCACACAGCGGCAGCAGCGCGCCGGCAGTCAGCCAGCGCGGGCAGACAGCGTGCACGCATGCCGTGGGGCGTCATGCACAGCTGATACGGAAGTGGAGTTAGGAACCGACGAGTTTTGTAAGGGGCTAAAATGCGAAAGGTGCGCATCGGCCCTTGATGCGCACAAATGGGCAAAAAAGCCGTGCAAGCAGGATTTGCGAGGGTTACGCGGGCGCGCGGTTGGAGGGTGCACGGGCGTGCGGGGGTGCGCGGCACAGGATCGGTGCATGGGCGTACGGGGGTGCGCGGTACAGGATCAGAGCACGGGCGACGGTTGGGACGCGCGCAAGGCAGCGCGGAGGAACGCAAAGCGCGCGGGGGCGCGCGAGTGGGCGGTATGTGCGGGCGCATGCCTAGGCGCGGTAGGCATAGGAGAGGAGCGCTGGCAGGCATGCGCAAGAGAAGAGGCGGCGACGCTGGGCGCGCGCAGAGGCGCGCGCGTGCGATACAAGCGCGCGACGCCTAATACGCTGAGGGTTAGGCGAGCGCGAGGCGGCGCGCATAAACGCGCGAGGTGGGCAGCGGGCACTTGAGGCGGCCGAAATTTGGAGACTTAGGGACATTCTAGAATTGCTTGGTGTGCAAGCCACGCATTAGTTATTTGGTAGGTTTAGGATTTTATTGCTTTCTAGAGTTAGGATTTATTTTATTGCATAGAATAGGAGATCTAGATCTATTAGGCTTAGATTTATTTTGCAACTATAAATACCCCATGTACCTCATCATTATTTTATGTCTTGAATTGAGTATTGAATTGGTGAGCGAATTTTGAGGGGAACTTTATGTTCTAACGTGTGATAAACAAGGCCGTCAGTGCGTGTTTACATACAGTGTCGGAGAGAAGGCCCTGAGAGCGTCTCGAAGTCACAGTGTCTAGGAGAATGCCCTGAGTGCGTCTGCTAGATACACCTATTGTGGATAACCGAAGGCCCTGAGTGCGCGATTATTCACTACCCGTATAAATAACAACACGATCCGTCATCATTGGTGCTTTCATTGAGAGGGTTTCATTGAGAGGTGCTGATCGTGATTTTATTTATCGTATCTTTTCTTTTTTTTTGGTTTGCCTTTTGCTGAGGGGCCGAATTTCTCTTTATTTTTTGTTGGGGTTCGAATTTTTTGTTCGAATTTTCCCTTTTAATTTTCGAATTTGAGTCTTAAAAAAAAAGTGTCATCAAGTCCTTTGTTTGATTTTTGTTCGGTTATTACCTTTTGTTGAGGGGTCGAATTTCTTTTTTTGAGTCTTGGGGGTTCGATTTTTCAAAGTTTTCCCCTATTATTTTCGAATTTATTTAGAGTAAAAAATAAAAAAAATTATGATGTCAAACCGTGAGAGGATTCAAGCGTTGGAAGACAACATGAAGATCATCGGCGATGGTCAACATGCTACCAACGAGAACTTGGGAAGGATCGAACTAATGGTCCAGGACTTGGCCGGGCAGCTAACGCGCATGAACACGCGGCCAAGGAGGCGTCACAGGTCAAGGTCCACGGCGACAAGCACCGGGACCGAGCGCGAGGACGATCGCCGATCGCGGGGCACACACGCATCGCGCGGAGATCACCACCACGACGACCGACGACGATACGATGGACGCGCACACCACGACCGAAGGCGCGAGGATGACGACGACTGGCGATCTCACGCGTCGTACGCGTCGCATGCGACACACGACGAGCGGAGGCCACATCGCGAGGGTCGACGACGCGATGAACGACGGGGCGAGGGACATGCCCGATACCACGAACGCGACGATCCCCGGGACGAACAGGCAAGTACACGGCCAAAAATAGTCATGCCCACGTTCACGGGGACAGATCCAGATGCATGGTTGAGTCGAGCTATGCAATTTTTTGAGATCAATGATGTGCCAAGGTACGAAAGGGTTCAAATTGCTGCTTATCATCTGGATGGGGAAGCAAACGTATGGTGGCAATGGGTGATGCACAAAAACCATGGTGACCACATGCGTTGGAGAGATTTTGAAAAGGAGCTCATCACGAGGTTTGGCTCGAGTGACTACCACGATTACAACGAGGCTTTGTCAAGAATCAAACAAGTGGGTAGTCTAAGGGATTATCAAAAAGAGTTCGAGCGCATTGCTAGTAGAGTACGGGACTGGCCCGAGGCTGCGCTAGTAGGAACGTTTGTTGGGGGACTAAAGGCTGAGTTGGCAGCCGAAGTAAGGTTGGATAGGCCAGGGTCGATGCGAGCAGCCATAGAGTCGGCTAGATTGCACGAAGATCATCTCGTAGCGGTACGCAAGGCAAGGCTGAGCGAAGTGCGCACGGAGACCAAGCGCACGACTGAGGAGCAAGTGGCTCGAGCCGAGAGCAAGCCATTGGGGGAAACCGTTCGAACGACGAGAAACATATGGCGGCTTACCGACAAAGAGATGCAACGACGGCGAGAAAAAGGCCTTTGCTATTCGTGCAACGAAAAGTTTACGCCAGGCCACAGATGCAAAGGTAAGGAGGTCTTTTTGTTGGAATTTGAGGAAGATGGAGAGCCACACGAGGAGACGCTACTACACATGGTTAAGTGCAAGAAACAAGGTCCGAAGATGATCACATTCACGGCGGAAGTGAGAGGAAAATTGGTGGAAGTACTGGTTGATAGTGGGTCTACGCTAAACTTTATTGATGAGGAGTTGTCCAAGGAAATTGAGATTCCATTCACCAAGGTAAAACCTTTTGGAGTCAAGGTAGCAAATGGGAAAACACTACGAGGGGATATACTGTAATATCCCGACTTGTTATCAGTACAAATTATATTTTAGTTCCGATATTATTTTTCGGAATTAATTATTTTCAGTTATTTCAGTCGCAATTACCGGAATTATTTTCGACGTACCGTTTACGTCCGGATTAATTTTGGTAATTAGGTGTTATGCTTAAGTTATTAATTAAGCTTTAATTGGTGATTAATTGTAATTAATCACTTGATTAGTAGCTAAAGCCGTGAGTTATGGTGCTATCTTCAAGCATATAGCCGTGCATGTTAATTGTTAGTGCATGGATCCCAATTTTATGCAAATTCCATGCGGATACATATATATGATATGTGTATGTGTTAGTAGCATTTGTCCAAGACTCATGTGTAAGAAACCGTGCGCCCCCATTGTCATTTTGCTAGCCTTTGGTCCAAGATTCTCCCCCCTATTGTCCTAAGTAGCCGTGCGGTTTTTGTCATGTATCTTACTAGTATTTTGTTCCAAGGATTCCTTCCAAGTCATGCCAAAATGCCGTGCTCAATGTAGTGGACAATTGTCCAAGCATTTCTCCCTTTTGATTAGCTTATTCACGTGACATTATGAGGCAAGAAGTCTTGCATGTCTTTTTGGCTTTTAGCATGTAGTGTCCTCACACTAAATGGCATGTGAGACAAGTGTCCAAGCCATTGACCAAATCTCTCCCTCACCCTCATTATGCTTTCGGTTTTTGTTAAGTGAGGCTTGGGAGATTTTACTCCATTTCTTCTCCAAGTCCGTAAGATAGAGGGAGTTAGTGAGTGAGTCTTTTTGTGAGAAATTTGTGAGTGTTGTGCGTGAGCTTCCGCCGAGAGCCATCGCGCAAGCCGCAAGCCATCGCACGTCCGAGCTCTCGCGCATAAGCAGCAGCAGTCCGTCGCATTCCGCTGCACCGCACGCAACGCACGCACGCGGAGGGTCTCGGCCAAGCACGGGAGTTCGAGAAGTTTAGTCCCTAGGGCTTAGCAAGAGGTAACTCCTGACGACTATTGACCGAGAGTAGCATGTTCATTAAGTTAATTTTATTAGTAGCATGCATGCGAGTTATGAGTAGCCATAGCCGTAGCCGTGCCGACCATGTCATGTTATAAGTTATTTTCTCCGAACCATCCTCGCATATTTAGCTTTTATTTGCAAAATCATGTTTATATTAGCTTAAGTGTTCGGATGATTAGACATGTTAGTGGAGTATTGGCCGAAGGGATGTGGTCGCACACTTAGTGCGCACCACGGACCACTCGCGTGTTATTGCATGTTAAATTCAACTCTCCGATCATTATGTGTTATCATGTTCACCAAGACATGTTCAAGTTCAGTTAAATTCGAATTGCCGAGAGATAATGTGATTCGGTCGTTAAACGGCACGACGCCGTCGGCGGCGCCCGGCGCGCCCGGCGCGGCCATAGTTAGTCCTTCACGGGAATCTTCATGTTTTCTGCATATTTATGTTCATATGATCATGTCATGCTTATTGAAGTCAGTTTGTTCGGAAGTAATTGCCGGACGGCCGGCAAGGGCCGGCCGTG